TTATTGAGGTATAATGGACTTATAAATTTGTAAGATATTTAAAGTGCACACCATGGTGATTTGAGAAATGATCCCCCCCATATAGTTAATTAAAGCATCCATTACCTCATATATTCATCTTTTGTGTGTGTGTGTGTGTGCATGCTCAAGAATATTTAACTTCTGTTCTCAGCAAATTTCACTTATAGAATACAGTGTTACAACTATAGTCACAATGTTTTATATTAGATCCTTAGACCTTTTCCATTCTATAGCTAAGTTTGCACCCTCTTACCAACCTCTCCCTATTTTCCCCACTCACAGGCCCTGGCCACCACTTTTCTACACTTTCTATGATTGACTTTTTCTCTACACATATGTGATACCATGCAGTATTTGTCTTTCACTGTCTAGTTTATTTCACTGAGCATAATGCCCTCAGAGTCTATTCATGTTGTCCCAAATGGCAGGATTTCTCTCATTCTCTTGGCTGAATAACATTCCAGTGTGTGTGTATGTATGTGTGTGTGTGTGTGTGTATACCTTCGTTATCCAGTTATCCATCAGTGAACACTTGAGTTGTTTCCATATCTTGGCTATTGTGAATAATGCTATAATGAACATGGTAGTGCAGATATCTCTTTGGATTACTGTTTCATTTCCTTTGGATAGATAACCACAACTGAAATTGTTGGGTCATAGGGTAGTTCTATTTTTAATTTTTTGAGGAAGCTCCATACAGTTGTCCATAGTGGCTATAACCAATTTACATTCCTACCAACAGTGCATCTGGGTTCCATTGTCTCCACATCTTTGTCAATACTTGTTATCTCCTGTATTTTTGATGCTGGCAATTTAACAGATGTATGTTAATATCTCATTTTGGTTTTGATTTGCATTTCCTTGATAATTAGTGATGTTGAGCACCTTTTCATGTACCTTTTGCCATTTTATGTCTTTTTGGAAGAGTATCTATTTACTTTATTTATTTTCACTTTGTCTATGCATTGTTCTCCTAACCTCAGTGAACATCATTTTGACCATTATTTCGAACTTTTTATCAAACAACTTCTCTCCATTTTATTTGAGTCTTTTTCTGGAATTTTATCTTGGTCTCTTGTTTAGAACATATTTCTCTGATTCTTCAATTGTTTTTGACTCTCTGTGTGTTTCTAAACATTGTATAAAGCAGTCACCTCTCCTCGCCTTGATGCAGTGGTTTCATGTAGGAGATAAACATGATGATTCAGCCTGATGTGAGCTCTTGGTTGTCTCTCAAACTTTGGTGGTTATCCAAGCTGCTTTCTTTGTTCTTAATGGCCCCCAGTAGTTAAAGGTATGCCAAAATCAGTTTTTATGTGGTTTTTGTTTTTAGTTTTTTTTTTTCATTGACCCAATAGGTAGGAGTCACTCTGCTAGATTCTGGATTTTTTTTCAGAGAGATTTGCTCCACATGTAGCTGTAGATTTGGTGTGTCCGTGGAATGAGGCAAATTCAGGAGTGTTCTGTGTTGTCATCTTGGACTAGAACATTAAGAGTGACTACATAATAGTATATTCACCACATAATTATAACATATAATATATGCCTTTTCACTCTTGAAAAAACTGGTATATTTAAATTGTAATCCTAAGGTTATAAACATAATACTTGTTTTTAAACATTTTGCTACATCCATCACTGAAATTCTCTTTTCTTATAAATATCCCCTGCTTATTTTAAGAATTTCTGAAAGTTAGACTTTTCTGTAAGACTTCTTCAACCACATCTCTGCTTATATGTTGTGAAATTATTGTAACTTTTGACAATCTTTTATTAAAGCTTCTGTGTTCTCTTTGGTAAATACTGGTCTCTCTAACTTGCTGCACTGTTCATTTATGCAAAACTACTGTGTTTTCAAGGCATCTAAGGAAACATTTTATTAATGTTTTTAGATAGATTGTAAACAGAGAGGCACAAGGTATTTATGTTGATAAAAATTTGTCAAAAGTTGAAAAACTTTCCAGTGATGTTCCACTTATCAGGGACCGACTCAGAAGCATTTCAGCTAAAAATTAATATTGCTTCCTGAATTCACCAATTTTTTTATTGAATTGTGCAATTTAGATTTGAGCTGGTATGTTTTATTTTTATAGAAAATTTTTTGTTAATTTTATCTGCATTTACATAAAATATCGAAGTGCAACTATAGAAATGCGAAATCAAAATGTCCAGATTTAAATAATTAGAAATCATATATATTAACTTATATTATGTCCAAATTAGGATACATGTAACTACTGTAAAATAAACCAAAAAACCCGTTATATTTTCTGAGTGTTTTTTTATTTTCTATCATTCTATTTTATCACAAATTTTAATATTTATGTGCTACATTATTGTGTACATGAGAAAACATAGCAGCAACCACACAACAGCATCAACCAGAAAACAATAATTCCTGAAAATTTACAAATGCTTGAAATGGTTTCTTTATATATCAAATGTCATTTCTCTCATTGTTGTCATGACTGTATTTTCATTTTACCAAAGGTACTGAAGCTTATAACATGTATTTAGAAATTGTTTTAGGTAATAGAATTCAGTAGCATGAGGCTGCATTTTATAAAAGTAAATGAGTATTTTGTTGTGCTACTTTATTTAAATGGATATAATTATAATTGCTTTATGCTGATCTCTTACCTTGTAGGGTTTTAAAGTGTACTCAGTCACCAAAAATCAAATGGTACTTAACTCTTAAGAAATTTTCATCCACAAAGTGAAACTATAGCAAATCCTTAAAAATAGTCACTTATACCAACTAATAGAATTTAGAGTTCCACAACTACTCTTTTAGCTATACCTTTACAAGGTATAACAATTCTATTTATAGATTCTAAACATATGGCTATTCCATATATTGTGCCATATAATATATAGTGCTGAAATTGTTTTTCATGGGCTATATTTATGGTTTCTTTTTTAAGCTCAAGAAGAAATAATTAAAACCAAATGCCCTGAGCACTCTACTATATCCTACTGTGCTTTTCTATACTCTAGCATGATGACAAATTTTGGTGTGAGCCATGATCTTGAACATATGCCTATACATTCAGAAAATGTCATAAATCATCTTTTGGGATCTGAGACTGACCACATGTTAAAATTGATATGAATACACTAACCATGTTTGAAATTCAGTATCTATATTTTTATGAAAAATTTAACAAGTCGTAAATTACAGCTCTGAGTGATTCAGTCATGGAAAGTGAAATCAAATCTTTAAGAAACTATTTTTATTTTGTACAAATAAATTCCATGAAAAACCCTTTACTTATGGCCATCTATTTTAAAATCCTCATTTTGTATTTTCTGAAATGTCCTTAGCCCACTAAAAAAGTAGTCTAAACTAATTGAATGAAGAGTGGCTGATAACTTTTCTTCATCTTCTACCCTTTATAAATGTATTTATCTAATGTCTTACTATAGAATTAGTCCTGATGACTCCTTAAAGCCTATTGTCTTAAGAACTCAACTGTTTCTTTGCAGACTTAGTTGAAACCAAGTCATATAGCAGATGATATTCTAAGTTATAAGTTAATGTGTATCATGAATTAATGTCCACTCATAGTGATAGAAATGGACCAAGAAACTGGTGACAGGAAAATTCCACAAGTGGGGACAGAGAAAGTTAGTATCTTATTCAATTCTGACCCCTTTACAACAGCAGGAAATATGAAACGCACAGTGAATTTGTCTTGTTTTCTTTTTGTTTTGAGGCTAAATCTTCAGAACACTTACTCTGGGGGAAAAAAAAACAACTAGAAAGGATGGCAAGTAGTGGAGAAGGAGAGAGAGAGGAAAGTGAGTAAAAACAAGGAAGGAAGGGAGGAAGAAAAGGAGAGAGAAGATTCATTTGGAACCACCTTATACCCTGGAATGATGCTTTACCAAAGTATATTAGATAAATGACAAAAGGATTCCATCATCCAGCATTACTGGTTGTTGAATGTTTAACTGTGTTGATGCTGACTACAGGGATTGTTTTTGAAGAGTAAAGTGGGAAGGGAACAAAATCTATGAGAACTGGCTTTTAACATTCAGAGATTTCGAAAGAGTTGAAAATGGTACTTCAATTAGTGAATAGGAAGAATTTTAATTTAAAGAATAATTGTGTCTTCATTTAAGAAGAATTTTGCTTTCTTTTAGTACCTTTATTTTTAAATACTCTTGGCATTTGTAACAAAAAAATATCTGATGCTGTATATATATATACACACTTGTTAATTTTTAGCTGATTAAAAGAAAACATAAACTTAAAACATCAACAGTTCATTTCTATCTCAATTAGCTTTCACATAATAAATATTCTCCATCTTTTTCTCCATGTGGCTGCTTACAGAAAAATCTGTTCTTTGAAATAAAAAAGTTTTCTAAGTTGTTTATCAGTCAAGAATAATTTCATTGTGCCTCACAATAAGTGGCTTGTTAGTGCACAATGTTAGTCAATGAGTTAAAGCTAAAAAGTTAATAATAACTCACAAATGATCATGTTTTCATTTTATTATTTGCAATCAATTATATGTTTGGATTGTGTCTTCTTAATTTATGATAGCCATCACTACCTTTTTAAGTGAAATACTCCTCAATTTCATTTCATAAGTGAACTGTATACTCTGGAGTTTCTTATACTGGGAACATTGTACAATATTTTTTCCCATTGTACAATATTTTCACAAAGTATCTGGTCAAAAGTGGACAAAGGTATTTGTATCATATCTTGGTGATATGGCTGAATTCAAAAAATTATTTTTTAATATCACATGATTCATCATAGATCCTACCAAAATCTCAAAGTATCCTATTTCATATCAACTATTATAGAATTCATAGTAATATCCTTCTGTTATTATTGTCCAGTCCTAATATTTATGTTGTAGATAGCTTTGGGTACCAGAGCCCACTTTTTGTGCACATTATAACTTGTGATAACTGTTGTCTTTTTAAATTATAACTAATAATTTGCTAATTTTTCAATACAGGTAATGGATTAGGAATTAGAATTGTGGGTGGTAAAGAAATCCCTGGACATAATGGAGAGATTGGAGCCTATATTGCTAAAATTTTTCCTGGAGGAAGTGCAGAACAGACAGGGAAACTTATGGAAGGTAAGAATAAAGATTTCATAGTAAATTAAAATGAACATACTCAAATATAGTTTAATTTCATATGCAAATTTTATTTTTATTTACTATCTAGGTAAACCTCTCTCTTTTTGGGTCATTATGAAATTTGGGTATAGTAATATGAAAGAAAATGTGTTCACAATTACATTATTTCATTTTCAATTGCATTGTCCTTTGGCTGTTGGTTTGCTATGGGATTATCCTGTTTAAGAAATACTAATTAGTCAATATTTTTACTGACTTGAGTAATATTATTTAAAAAACACTTTGGTTTTGGGACTAATTTTTTATTCATACTAAGAAAAATTCTATTGAAATAAGAACTGTAAAATACTAGATGATTCGGTATACATTAAAGGTAGGTCACCAAACTGTGAATAGCCCACAGGCCAAATCTATCTGCTGCTTGTTTCTGTAAACAGTGTGTTATTGGAACACAGCAAAGATCATCAATATACATGTTGAACATGGGTGTTTCCTCACTACACTAACAGAACTGTATTCATGACAGAGACTAAATGGTCTATAAAGACCAAAATATGTACTCTGTGTACAGAAAATATTTGCCAACTTCTGTGCTAGGTTACTGTCTACTTTTAGATACTATCCACCTTATTACATCAAAAGCATTTTAAAATAATGAACTTTACAGATGTATCTAAAGGGCCATAAAACATATATTTTATTATTTTCTTTCAAATATTATAAAGTGCTTGATTCTCAAAATGCGTAATGATTATTTTCACTTGTTAATTAAATGTCATTCACATTTTCCAAAATCTAACATAACATATAGTTTGAAAGTTTTCAGTGATATTGCTTATAATAAATATTTTTAGCATAAAATAGCCTCAACATATTTTATTTTACTCAAAATACTTATTCAGAAGGTGTTTTTCTGTCATTTCATAATTTTATAAAATGTTGCCTGTTGCTTGACATTTTCAGTATGCTGAAATGATTCACTGTCATTTTCTTAAATGTACTGGAACCTACCAAAAAATTCCTTGGATATTTTGATAGACTATTAGAATAAACTTGAAACATTATTTACCCATCACAATGTTCTTTCTAGTGGAGCCAGCTTGTGCCAGTTTACTAAGATATGCTCTTCCCAACTTCACATTCAGTGATATCCCATTGATGGCTTGAATTGGTCATGGTGGGAGTATTTACAAACTGGAAATAGATAAATGTGATAAATTAGGCCTGTTTTGTTCAATTGTTTGTTAGTATTCAGAATGCCAGTTTACCAGGTCATTACTTAATATGTAACTGAAAGTAATTATTAAAAATAGTCTAATGTCATGCAGAAAACAGAAAAGAAGAATTAGCCAAACAACTAAAAGAAGGTAAAGATTGTATGAATCAAGATATCACAATAATGACCAAAATACTGAGTCGGTATGAAGTTTTTATGACTATAATCCTGTCATGCCTAATGCTGGTCTTTTGGAGACTAATTATAGAAATTGAGACTTTTTTTTTAATTGAGATCATTTTTAAGAATGGGAGTGATATCACTTTTGTACAGCATACTCCAGCTAGAAATGTATATAGTGTTTTTATTTTTAAATAAAAATTGCAGCAACTGTTTGTGTTCAGGTTTTGCAAAACTACTTGAACAAAGACATCCCTCTTTTTATTTACACCATGGATAAATGCAGCAAGGCTTGCTAATCTTCCAGAGGTTATTCAAAAGGGACATAGAAAAGCAAGAGAATTTGAGAAGATGACTCAATCACTACAATTATTTCGGGAAGTTTGCCTGGCTAGTCAAAGGTCAACTGTAGATGCTGAAGCTGTCCCTAAGTTGCTGACTTTGATTAAGGAATTATAGACTTCATTGGAAGCTTTGAGTTGACTTTTGACAAAGGTGGTAAATTCAGACAACATTATGATCTAATAAACTTTACTTTAAAAAAATCAGGATGATATGAGAGACAATTTTAGTGAAGCATACTGTGATGAAATGATGTTCTTTTTACTTGGTAGTCTCTGTGGTCCTTTATAAGCTCATAAATTTAAAATTTAAAAATAGATATAATGCAAACCAATTCAAGAGAGAAAATTGAAGTGAACTTAAGTTTTATAAGCTTAGACTGCCACGAAGGTTCTCCTCCTTTTTGGAAGTAGTAATCCTGCAGTTTATCTAATTGGTTTGAGTGAGAAATCATTAAAAGCTACATGCATATTATGTAAGATTCTATTTTAATTAACTATTTTTTTAGTGATACTCCCAAAGATTTGCCTAAGTGCCAAACCAGGACTGAGCACAGATCCTCTAGTTGGAGTCGAGTTCTTGTATAATGCACACCCGTGATTTGTTATGTATGATTTCCAGCTTTGCTTTATGTACTCTGATTGGTCTTTGATAATAGATTCATTATATTGTCTTGGTTTAGTATTTAGATCCTGTTTTTGAAACATTAAATATTTTTAGGAGTTACTTTAACATACAAGCCATCCTCAAGGTTCTGTGCCACTAGGCTAGAATGATAAAAGTTCATTCCTTTTATGTCCAAAGATGAACTGACTAGCAGGCCATCAGTCCAAATGGGAATCCACAAAGGTTCACCTTGTTTGGTATATTTTCAGGATATATATTTTTATGTATATAACTTATATTTACATAGTTTTTGTTTTAACTGTAAATGTGCTTTATTCATACATGGTATCCTTCGAGCCCTCACCTTCAATCTATGATAGATTATTATTATAAAATTTCAGAGCAGTAGATGATTGGTTAAGACACAACTCTGATTTTGATGCCTGAAGCAAGGCATCACTATAACAATACACTATATACTATACAATGCACTATTACAACATGCTCTTGTTAAAAAAACAAAAAACAAAAACAAAACAGGTTGCATTTATCATCAGTGTTTGTCGTGCTACACTCTCGCAGCACTCAGTGGCATGGATTCTACTGTGCTGACTTTTGGAAGAACAAGAGTATTTTCAGGTTTCTTCTAGCTTTTTGTTCTCTAAATTGTGCAATTAAAACATACTGACCAATCATGTAGGTTTTCCAATGCTCATAAGCCAAGTGCTATTCTAAAAGTACTGACTTAAGTAACTAACATTAAATGGAAAGGAAAAAGTTCCCACTGTCTTCCTGAGTCCACTGAGCTGGTTATTTATTAAAAGAAGATTTTTATTCAATGTTTTTTGAAAAATCTTTTTGAACAAGGTTGTCTATCTTGTTAAATAATGTAGGAAAATGATGTGTTTCAGAGTACTCATAATTAGCAATAATTATTACTGCAGAATCATTAGGCTATTCTCAAGAAATTTGTTTTTAAATACAAATATAGCCTTGTACCATACTCCGAAGTTAAAAAAAGCAGTTAGGAACATTGTATTAATCGAAATCTCCTGAGCAAATCTTTTAGTTTTACAAAATTCTGTAATGATCCTCTGAAAGAATGTACACAGTCAGATGTTTGAGGGAATCTAATCTTCCAAAATCTTAAAATTTATTACTCTGCAACATTAATAAACATTCTTAAACAAAGACTGGACCAAGAATGATCTTTTGCCACTTATTCTTCCTTTTAATGTATAAGGTCGGTTTTCTGTTGAAGGAAAAAAAAAATAGACAAAACATCCTGGAAACTAAATTCCAAATCTAAGTTTCTGAAGTGTTATTTGTTGCTATTTGCTTTAGGATTAAAATTTTAAACAATTTTAGATCAACAGCGTTGTGGTTGTCTAATGCTCATCAATATTGGGGCCTTAAGTGGTATATACTATCTCTCATTTTTCTCCTTTGATACTGGTATTTCTCTTTGAGCTAATCTGAGCATCTAAAAGTACACTTGAATATGTGGACTTTGCGTATTTAAAACTTGTCACTTCCATTTAAAATTTTTATTTTCGGGATCCCTGGGTGGCGCAGCGGTTTGGCGCCTGCCTTTGGCCCAGGGCGCGATCTTGGAGACCCAGGATCGAATCCCACGTCAGGCTCCCGGTGCATGGAGCCTGCTTCTCCCTCTGCCTGTGTCTCTGCCTCTCTCTCTCTGTGTGTGTGACTATCACAAATAAATAAACAAAATCTTAAAAAAAAAATATTAAAATTTTTATTTTCAGTGAAATGATTATAAACCTTATTTATAGTACAATATCAGTACCAGGTGTAATATAATCAGCACCTTACCTAGTAGTCTCAAAAAACTAGATGCTTCCTCTGTAATGAACTCTCTTTTCTCTGCTTTACCTAGTGAAACCTATTCAATATGGTTACAATTTTAGGAAGTTTTGAATTCATGACATGCTTTAAAAAAATTTCCTTAAAAATAACTCTTTATGTGTTGTTCTCAGATAAGAGTTCCAGCTGTCTCCAAATTTGGGGAGTCCATAATTACTCATATCTCATGGCAAGCAAAGACCACATTTTGTTTTGTTTTTTCAATCTGATAAAGACCAGGGTTAATTCTCTATGTTCCATCCATCTGTGTATGTATCAGTTGTGCATGGATCTATTGTGTCCTTTAACAATGGCTTTTTTCCCTACATACCCAGTGCCCAACAGTGTCAAATAAAACAAGATTTCAAATAATATGTATAGAAATGTCAAAGAATTAATTTTTGATTATAAATTTTGTATACTTATTAACATGTTACAGGATTTTGTGAAGCAAATAATAATACAAGGGGTCAGACTCTACTATTTGTAAAGAACCATGAACATTTAAGACAGCATCTATGTTTGGTTAATTACCATTTTTGATTACCTTTTCAGAAAAAAAATGTACAAAATAGAAACCATTTCCTCTGGGCACACGTTCTTACAACTTTGAGCTTAACTGCTCGTAAATTTACATAAATATACTCTAGGTTTCTTGTTCTTTGTTTTTTGGGGAGTTTTTTTGGTTTGTTTTATGAGGAATTGACTTGTTACTGATATAGAAAAAACAGCAACCCTCATATCTGAAAAATGCAGCACAGTTCTTTGTGCAGTGGCAGAGTATAAGGAG